AGGAAGGCAGGGCGGTGCAAGCGACCCCCGAAGTGGGGGTCGGGACCTGGGGAGACCAGACACAAGGGGATGGGAGTGCATGCCACATAGGCGTGGCAAGGAGGGGTGGCCAAGACGGTGGTGCCAGAGGAGAGTCTGGTGCGTGAGGAGACGACACGAGCAAGACGCAGCGACCTCAACCGACGCAGCTACCTGACCTGACTCAGCCACCTGTGCAAATTCAGTAGTCAGTGTGTACAGACCAGACCCGGGCCTCGAGTGAACGTGGCAAGGTGCTCACCAGTGCGGGAGTCCGTACATATCGCCACAAGCTCTCCTCCAGGCTGGGTGACAATGACCCACTGGTCCTAGAGGACAGAGGTAGCCACCAAGTTCTTAGCAAACGAGGGAAGGTGGAGACATTTGACGAGGCCGGAAGGGGCCGCCGGACAAGGGAGAACAGTAGCACCATGTGCGACTACCGGGCCCCCGGAGGGGTCCGCCAGTGTGACAGGGACAGGGGCTGTGAGCGGTGTGACTGTGGTGCTGTCGCGGAAGAAGCAACATGACGCGCCTGAGTCGAGAGTAAGAGTGTGCAAGGCCTCCTCAGGCTCTCCACCTGTGCTAGCTGAGTCAAAAGCACCAAGACTAGCAGCCTCTACCCTAGCAACAATAGGCACACACGAGTAACAGTCATCCTCAACACTAGCAGAAGCAGCATACATCGCATACATGCCAGCATGGATCACAACCCAGTCACAAGCAAAAACATCTATGTCCTTCTTTAGCAAGGCGAACCAGTATGGAGTCGTCATTTGCTCACCATGCTTCGCACGATACAGATCGTCGAGGCGAAAGAAGCAACGAGACTCGGTGTGGTTGGTGCGAATGCAGGTCGCTCCAGGCTGACCTGTGTGACGGACGTACCCGCAGCGAGCTGGGCCACCTGAGCTGCCACGTTGGATCGCCCACTCACGAAGTTGCTGCAGCGAGAGCTGCGCCTGTCAGCTCGGCTGCTGCTGCTGACCACCCCCAGAGCCACCTCCACCACCCGTTGCATCACCAGACACAGCTGAACGAGTGGCTGGACCTCCAACTCCTCCTCCGCCAGCTCCACTCCGAGTGCCACCCCCACCCCCTCCACCACCGCCACTGCTCCCACCACCCCCTCCTCCTCCTCCTCTGCCGCCTCCACCTCCTCCTCCCCCACCACCACCACCTCCGCCACCACCGCCGCTGCCCCCGCCACCCCCACCACCCCCACCGCACCCACCCTTGCCACCTTTGCACCACCGTTGCGGCGCCTCCCAGTAGGAGCAGACGCAACACCGACCTCCTCAACACCAAAGAGGTCCACAGCAGCAGAAGAGGCAACAGACGGCGCAAGCATGAAGGGAGTAAGGGAGGCAGGTCATGAGAAAGTAATGGGTGAGATAAATGGGTGGCTTGTTCTCAGCCCGAAAGGTGGGCTCGAGGGCGGCAGCGTAACGGGTCTCAAAGGAGCACAGGTGAGTCAGGAGGTCGGTTACAGTGGTGAAGTCTGACAGCTCAGGAAAGAGGAACGGCAGCGCCAGGCAGCCTACAGTGGCTGATGACGGGGACAAGTAGCGCTTGACTACAGCGTCGTAAAGCGCCTTGGCTGTCTTTAGCTGGCGAAAGTGGGTGCGCTGGTCTAGTGGAAGGTGATTACGGACAGCAAGAGCAGTAGCGTCACGAGAAGTCCACTTGGACCGGTCTACAAGGGCAGCTGAGTCTGCAGAGACATCGAGCGACCCCGAGGTATGCTCAAAGAGAGAGACATCCTCCCTAGTAAAGCTCTGTAGGTACTCGTCCATATCCTCTAGCCACGACTCAAAGTCTACCGGGTGGCCCTCGCCGTCAAAGGTGAGCACAGTAGGGGTCGCAATAGCAGCAGTAACGGTAGTGGCAGCAGCAACAACAGTAGTAGCAGTAGCAGCAGTAAGGGGCGGCTAAGTAGGGCGGCTCGGTTGAGCGGCTCGGCACGGCGGCTCGAACGGGTAGCTCGACTGGGCGGCTCGGTTTGGCGGCTCGCAGGCAGCTACAACAGGCGCACTAGTCGGCGGTGCAAGCAGCAGCAGCAGGTGCACAAGCAGGGCAGGGAAGGGCGCGAGCTGGCGGTGCAGCAGTGCAGCAAGGGCTGGGCAGGGGCATGAGTGGGCGGCGCAGGGCAATGCGCAGGTGGCTCAGGCAGGGCGCACACAGGCAGCGTGAGCAATGCAGCGCGCAGGGCAGTGAACGGCGGGCCAGCAGCGAGCAGGCAGCGCGGGCGGCACAAGGCAGCGCGGACGACGAGCGGGCAGCGTGCGGGCCGCGTGAGCAGCGTGCGAGCAGCGTGCGGGCAGCGCACTGGCCGCGCGAGCAGCAGGCGGGCGGGCACACTAGGCAGCGCGACAGCGCGCGGCTTTGGGCAGGCAGCGCAATAGCGCGCTGGGCAGGGCAGGGCAGTAGCACGATGGCGTGTGTGCAGGGAAGAAATGATGGGTTGGGCAGTTGAAAAAAAAAAAAAAACTGCTGGGCAGAGCGAAACGAATACGGTGGGCCAAAAAAAAAATCGGTCCTAACCGGGACCTGATACAATTATGAAACCCTAGGTTTGTATCCCCTCTAAGGCTAGCCCCACAACAGCCATACAATGTTTAAGAATAGTCGCAGTTAGAGTAGCAATGCAATACAGTTAACAAGGGAATGTACCCCTCAGAGTAGATGGCTAGCTAGGATTGCTATTTAAACTCCTTGTATATCTTTATCATCTTGTTCTCTTTCAATTAAGAGTGTCACTACAATACTTCCTAGTCTTCTTCCAGAAATTCGCTGGTTCTATCATAATCCTTCGATTCCTTGTTACATCAACATGTGTTGCCCGAAATAGTACCTTCAAGTAGGAAATTAGGACCATGGTGAGCATTAGGTTAGGAGAGTAGTGAGAGAAGGTTTTGGCCAAAGAAGGAGGTTGAATAATAGTAAACAGGTATAAGATATAGGCAAGTGTGAACCAGAACAAGTGGTGCACCACCAAACAGATGGAAAGTATAACTACGCTACAACAAAACTACAAGCAGTTATAAAATATGCAAAGCATATTTCAACACGCCCCCATAACTACTTGCAGGAAGAATTGTAGTGTCGCTTTCTGAATGGGGTACACTAGGGCAGAGTAGCGCAATGGATGAGGGCAGAGAGGCAAGTGAGGAGGAGGAGGCGAGAGAGAAAGAGGAGAGGTGAGGAGAGGAGGTGGGGGGCAGGCACGAGCGTGACAGCTCCAATGCTGGCAACCCACTTTCAGACCCCATTTTACGAAGAGGGGAGGTGAGAGAGGAATGAGGAGAGGAGGTGGGGGGCAGGCACGACCGTGACATCTCCAATGCTGGCAACCCACTTTCAGACCCCCAAGTCCCCACCCCACTTCAACCACCCCCTTAACCTCACCCCCCTTTTCAGCCGCCCCCTTTAACCTCACCCTCCACCACTTCACTCTCCCCCCGTCCCCGCCACCTCCCCCCCATAGCAGCAGCTGTGGGTGAGGCGTGGCAGGGCGCGAATGGCTGCTGGCTGATCACATCTGCCACCCCCACACCCTCCTCCCCCCCCCCCCCCACCTTCCCCCAGCGGCAGTGGAAGGAAGGGCAAACAGGAGGAGGAGGCGGCTGGCGCTGCCACTCCCTCATCCCCTCCCCCCCCTACGGCGGAAGCCGCGGCAGGGAGAGGGGGGGGACGGCGCACGATGCTGCTGCCGGTAGCGCGCTGGCGTGGGGCGCGCGTTGCAGCGCCTGGTTGCGCGTAGCTGCGCCTGGTCGCGGGTTGGCGTGGGGGGGGGGTGGGCCGGAGGGGGGGGGAGGGGGGGGGGGGGGGGGGGGGGGGGGGTCGCCGATGCGCGTGGGACAGCGGGGTCGAGCGACGCACGAGGCGCGGGGCAGCAGGGCAGTGACGCGCGGGGCAATGGGGCAGCATGTGTAAGGCAGCGGGGCAGTGGGGCAGCGACGTCGCGCAGGCGATGGGGTGCAGCAGCGAAGCGCTCACGAGGCGCACGACAGGCTGCGCAACGGTGCGCGCCATAGCAAGCGTGATTGGTAGGCCCATTGGCATTTCGGTCCGCAGGAAGAAACTGCTCTGATAGCATGTTAACACAACATCATAACTGTTTGGGGGAGGAGGTATGCTGCAGCTGGCGCTATTGACTGCAGTTGTTGGTGAATATTCTCAAGAGATGGTACAGGGAAAACTGTTATACAGCTATTATTTGTACCCACATTGTGTTTGCTTTGGAAACACCCTGCATAATGACTTGATACTTAGAGATATTCAGGTACTAAACATCGTGTTTATAGATATGTTTCCTCTACATCCACTGATTTGCATTTGTAGCTGATTTTCCTGCCTTTTGTTTGCACATTGTTAGGCATTTCATCGTTTCGATGGGTGTACGCTCACGCCCCAAAGAAATACGGGATCCGGGTTTTCGTTGTAAATATTAGTTATGAGGTCCGACGCCTATCGCGCCGTCGTGTGCGGGAGAAATTGAATGAAGTTGGTGTGTGGGTTCTTTTTGTCACCAATTATTCTACACGAACCCTTGAACGAGTCCGTATCCTGTTTTCGTTGCTTCGTGAGCCTACTATTCAGTTCTTCGTGACGAAAAACTGGTCGTCGCGTTCTCGCCAAATCGTTCGCCCAAACCGCAATTATTCACAACAATGTTGATTCAACAAGCTTCACCTCAGAAGCTTCTCGAAACTCAGGCGACTCCGACTGCAATCTACAGCGAAGTCATATGCGCGACTCACGGACCAATCTCTACAAGCAGCAGAAATAAAGTTTATAAGGAGCTGCCATTGCCGTTCATTTCATCACCAAATTCAAGTATCTGCAGTCTCTAATCTTGTAACTTGTTTAAGCACCATCTCGACCTTCAGCCTAGTCTGTTACACACAGAAACGAAAATGGCTTTCTTCAGTCAGGCACCTGCTAAGGCCGCTTTCCTCGTAGTAGTCATCGCCTCTGCGATGCTCCTTTCCGCCCCTGCACGCGTCTATGCTGCTGGAGCTCCCGCCAACGCGAATGCGCCTGCTAACGCGACTGCTTCCGCTAAGGCGGCTGCAGCTGGCGCGGCTGGGTCTGCAAACGCGACCAAGCCTGGAGATGCTGCCAACAGCCCCGTAGCTGCGACCGCGAGGCAGAGCAAGAGCGCGGGGCTAGGAAAGAACTCCACATGCGCCTATTACGGAAACTACACCGCCAACCCATACTTTGGTAAGGGGCTGACCGTGAAGCTCCCTCCCGCCATATTTGGCGCTCGTTGCGGTGCGTGCTACAAGGTGATCTGCACCAACGACACGAAGCGCTGCCGCAGCGGCAAGGCGACCGTGACCGTCCGCGTCATTGGCGCGACGACGACGGAGAAGCAGATTTCGCTCAGTGCTGTCTCTTGGTCCAAGATCGTGCAGGGTTCCGATGCCACCCCCGTCAGTATCACGTACACGCGCACCAACTGCCAGTCGACCGTTGGATCGGCGGTTCGCGTGCGCAGCAGCTCGACGGCGGGGAAACTCGACATTCAGATGGTGGGTCTGGCGGGCCCCGGTACGCTTAGGGAGGTGGAAATCAGCGCGGACGGCAAGAAGTGGGCGAAGCTGACCCGTGACGGCAGCAAGGCGATCTGGGGGATCGCGGGCAAGGAGGCGAAGGAGGTTTTGGGCGCGAAGAAGGCGATGAGCGTTCGCCTCACTGCGTTGCACACCCTCGAGAAGATCACCCTCGAAAAGGTCCTTCCTGCCGACTGGAAGCCCATGACGCTGTATTCTTCCAAGACCAACTTTAAAAAGCTCATGGCCGAGTCTAAGTAGATGTTTGATTGAACAATAGGGTACAAGAATACGGTAAGATGGCTGAATGCTAGGGTACTTTTGAGAGGAGATACTTTAGCGGCTGGGAGGGGAATGGGTCAGCGACAAGGGAATGGGTTAGAAGGGAAGTGGGTTGGGGGGAGGGGGGGGGGGGGGGGGGGTGTGATGGTGCTGTGACTAAGAAATTCTCTTTGCTTTTTTTGTGTCGTTCATTCTGATAATTGTGTTACCTGAGTATCAGTCTACACGGAATCAGGTAACTCCTTAGTGATGCCTTGACCAGCCAGCAGTAGGCCACCTTTTCCCCATTTGCGCAACCCTCCTGGAACTCCTGTATAATACACCAGGGGAGAGAGCTGCTGAGCAATATTCCTTACGGTACTTGCATATGGTAGTTGTTTAGAAAGAGCATTACAGTCCTAGCATATTGGTAGCGCTCTATACCGTAACCTGCTTTTGGAGGCACCTAAAAATGTAACCACATATCTACTGCTTTGCTCTGCCCGGTTATCAGTAGGTCTAGTTGTTTAAGAAAGAGCAGTACCGCCCTACTGGTATCGCTCTAGAACCTTCTCAATGAGAAGTGAGAAGGCAGCAAAGCCAGCACACCCCATGCATGCTGCTTGCGGGCCCGCTGAAGGCGATGGGGGGGGGAGGGGGGTTGGTTTAGGATGGGGAACAAGGGGAAGAGGGGAGAAGGGAGAAGGAGAGTTAGTGTTGCGGCACGTCCTGATAGACAGGATACTCACTCTGGGGGTGGGGTGTGGTGGGATGAGGTGTGGTGTCATGGGGCGTGGTGTGGTGGGATGCGGCGGAGTAACCTGGCTGACATCTTACCTCTAGCTGACAGTGCTCCCCCGGTCACGCAGCCTGCAATCACTGTGATGACTTCATCATGCCTCGCCATCGCCTTCACCCACCTCTTGGATCACACAGCTGATAACTCACCTCTGGCTGACAGCACCCCCCCCGTGACACACCCTGCAATGACAGTGTTGACTTAAGTTGACTCAAAGCCACACACCCACCCACCTCTAGCAGACAGCCCCCCCCCAGTGACACAACCAGCAATGACGGTGTTGACCTCATCGTGCCTCGCCCTCGCCTTCTCCGCCATGCACTCTGATGCCGAGAAGATCGCCCCCCATCACTGCAAAGGGGGGTCTTTGCATAGCTGGAATTGCATTCACCCACCTTTGGCACCGCACAGCCGACAACCCACCTCTAGCTGACACCGCTCCCCCGGTCGTGCCTTCTCCGCCATGCACTCCACTCCACCACATTCACTTCACCCACCTCTACCAGACAAAACAACGCACCTCTGGCGGACAGTGCTCCTCCCGTGACAAAGCCAGCAATGACGGTGTTGACCTCATCGTGCCTCGCCCTCGCCTTCTCCGCCATGCACTCTGACGCCGAGAAAATCTCTCCCATCACTGCCAGTGCTCAGGCTCACCTCTAAGCTACACACGCACCTCTAGCTGAGAGGGTTCCCCCACCGTGTTGACCTCATCGTGCCTCGCTCTCGCCTTCTCAGCCATACACTCTGATGCCGAGAAGATCGCCCCCATGACGGCAAAGGTCTTGCCTGTGTGCCAGCTGCGCTGCGCCATCTGCCTGATTTGAGAAAATGGAGATGGGGAAGTGGAACGAGCAGAGAGGAGGAGGTGTAGACACAAGAGGGTTGGGTTGGGTTGGGTTGGGTACATAAGCTCTCTTTCAAGAAGGTCGCTCCCATCACGGCAAAGGTCTTGCCTGTGTGCCAGCTGCGCTGAGCCATCTGCCTGCAGGGGGAAAGCAGGCAGCGACCGAAAGGAAGGGCCGCAGACAAAGGTTAGCTGGCTGCGTGAGCTGTCTGCTGAAATAATATACCCTATAGCTGAGAAGGTTTTGCCCGTGTGCCAGCTGCCAGGGATGCTGGTGATTACCCATGTCAAGGCAGCACCGCACCCACCACACCCACACACACATGTGAACGCTTCACTGACAACACAAAGCACACGGCACTCACACCAGCTGCTGCCGCGTGCTCATGTCCTCCACATGCAGAGCAGAGGCTGGTGAATGCAGGTGGCAGCACCAAACACACACACACGCCCACTTGTGTAATGGCTGGTGAATGTGTTCATGCACCGCTCTGCACTCACTTGAACCCATGCACCAGCTGCTGCCGCGTGCTCATCTCCTCCACATGCAACGGCTGATCCAACGCACCAAACAGCAGACCCATCATCACCCCCATGCCGCCCCCTGTAACGAGGAAGGAGTGAGGGTTTTGGGTGCAGGGAACAATAGGAGTAAGGCTTTAAGCCACAGCATTTGCTTATCTCCTCACCGCCGGTGTGGTGTGGCAACTTGACTGAAAGGCGCTTTTGACTGTTCTGACATTATCAAATGCGACTACACTGCAACTGTACAAAGCTACCTTTCAGATACACTCACCCATAACACCGCAAATAACGGCTCGCACGCAGCAGTGGTTCATCATCTCCTCAGCCGCCATCTCCTCCGGTGTGTTGTGGCGTGGCCACCTTGACTGAACAGCGCGTTTGACTGTTGTTACATTGTCACTTACATTCCATTAACACTCACCGATCACGCCGCAGTGGTTCATAATCTCCTCAGCCGCCATCTCGGTGCGGTGTGGTGTGGTGTGGGCATCTTATATGGGCTATCGACTGCTGTGACACTGTCGAATGTGGCTATGCTGCAATGATAGGCACGCACTCACCCATCACGCCACTAATAACGGTGCGCACGCCGCAGTGGTTCATCATCTCCTGAGCCGCCATCTCCTCCGGTGTGGGCATCTTAAACGGCGCTTTGGCGGCTTGCGCGCTCCCCGCTTGCGGCTCCGCCGGAGCGCCTCCACTCGCCTCGGGTGGCGTGGCGGCAGATGCGGCGAGACCGTCAGATTGAGAAGACTGAGAGGACGACATGGCGATTCGACCGTTGATCTGACTGTGTGGGAGGAGCTGCAAAAGCGAGCCGTTGATTAGGCCACGTTTGGGTAGACTTTGAAGTCCACTGGACTAGCTAATGCCGTAAGATCGGGCGCGCAATGCGGATGAGGAAGCTGCAAAAGCAGTGAGTGCCAAAGGCGCTGGTCGAGTGTGATCGACTGAAAGGGGTTGAGCGATTAATGGCTGTCTAGATTAGATGGTACAAGCACGAGCCGTTCGATCGCATCGCGTCGCGTCCCGTCGCGCGGAGGCACTGAATCAGGTTACGAGCACACGGGTTTGCGGATCAGAAGGGCACAAAGGCTTCAGAATCGGGGCTGATTCCGCAGCTTCAGGCTGATCATGGGGAGGTCGTGCGGATCAGGGCTATTGCCTTTTGGATTAACTAGCTCCGAAGGACCTCTTAGGATCGAGGCTGTGAGCCTGTGAATGCGCGGATCGGATCGAGGCGCAGAAGGAGGTTTTGCGGATTTAACGGATAGCGGTCGCGAGTCGCGAGAGTAGAGGCACAGTATGGTTGCGTGCGGCGCAGATGGAGGGTGGAGGAGATTCGACGCGGCGTATTTGAAAGAGGTTTGATCCGAGTGCGTTCCACGAGGTGGGGAGAGATGGCGGAGCGACGCGGGGCGACGCGGAAGAACGCGGAATGGCGCGGAGCGACGTGGAATGGTGGGAAATCAGTGGTGCTGAGCGTACCAGGCAGGTCTTGAAAAGTGAAGTAAACGATTAGGAAGGGTAAATAGCAAGTAGAGAAAGAAAACTCCTAGAAGAAAGAGTTAAGAGTGACGTAAGACAAAATTGATAAGATAAAGAAACCTATGAATAAGAGATTGAGTAAGAACGTAAAGGCTAATAAGGTTAAGGATAAAAATAACAAATTTGAAAGGAAGATGATGAAGACATTAAAGGGAGAGAACAATTGATTGAAAGAAAGATATTGAATGGGTGATTGATGAGAAGGTAAAAGAGCTTGAAAAAATAAACAAACTTGATAATGGAAACTAAGATTTGAGAAGAAAGGAGACTTGATAAGAATGAAGAGGCTTTGAATAGGGAAGCTTTAATTGAGAAACTTGACAAGAGTGAAATGAGGAGGTGACTTACCTTAAAGAGTCTTACTTGTCATTTTGAAGGAGCTTTGTAACTTGAAGAAGCCAAGCTTGAATTGTGAATCTTGATTGTTGGAAGGAGAGTGAGATCCAAGCTTGATTGTTGAGTAGAGAAGCACCTCCAAGCTTGAGTGTTGAGGTGTAGATCTTGTTTATTGTGTAGAGAAGAACCTCCAAGCTTGAGTGTTGAAGGTGAAGCTTGAGTCTTGATTAGAAGAAAGTCAAATGTTGATGTTGAGGCCTCAAAACTTAAAATGCACTAGTCCAAAGGAGGTACATGATGGACTTAAAGAGCAACCATTGATAACAATCTAGTAGAAAGACTATGAAGCATAAACTTCTCTAGAGTTGGAGAACATGGCTATGAGCTTGGATTGGGAGAGGTTGGTGGTGAGTGGAGCCTTAGGAGTTGGGCATGAGGAGGAGGACTTTGAAGTGGCCTTGTGAGAGCTTGGAGTAGAACTTGTGCAGAGCTTAGGTAAAAACTTGCTTGAAAAGTATGTTTGAAGAATGGGGTGGACCCTTTGTTTTGTATTTGGTGGAGCTTGAGGTTGGATGAAGAAGAGGAGGAGATGAATGATTGTGATTGGTTAAGTTGGATAAGGTGGGGGTGATGAATGTTGCCTTGAATTTAAGGCTTGGTGAGTGGAATGAATGTGGCCTTGAAATTAAGGCTTGGTGATTGGAATGAATGGGGCTTTGATTTAAGGCTTGGTAGGGAATCTTTGGATTGATTGGTGGAGGAGAAGGTTGAGGAGGATTGGAGAAGATATGAGGTGGAAGGTTGAAGGATTTGTATTGGGTGAAAATGGAAGTGTGCCTTGCTGACTGGAGATAAGGATGATGAAGTGGCGAATGGGTAATGTTGGGAGATGCCCTTTGCAGATTCGAATTTTGGCTGACGGGGAAACTGTGGCGAAAAATTTCGCCACGTGAATTTTTTCCCGCCACCCTGGTGCCACGCGAGCAGCAGCAGCAGTTCATTCCAACAGCAGGACGACAAGTCCTGGCGAGGCGGGCGGGTGGGCAAAGAGAGGCGGTACGGGTGGGTTGTGTTGGTGGAGATATCGAGGTGCAGGAGGGTGGGGAAAGTGAAGAGGGAAGCAGAAATATATATCTTCAAGTTACGTACAACAAGGTGTATATTCAAATACTTGCTCTGTAGCGCGTACAACAAGGCCAATAGGTTCTCAGGCTACAAAATCTTGTCAGAATGCATTTTTGGTTTTCATGTTCTCTGTCAATATCAGCCGTCGATCGATCTCCTCGTTACCACAGAACCGACAACCACATACCAAGCCTCGAGATTCCTCCCAACTAGGAATCACTACCAACAGTGTCTAGGGAATTCCTAAACCTGCCAGACCCCAGAACAGCTATTGCTGACCAGACCCTCCAATCCCCTAACCATGGTTAAGCCTCTACCCTCTCCCACCTCCCCTCGTTACACCCTCTCTCCCTAGATTCACACGGGTAGGTACATGGATCAACAGCAGAGAGGCAATCTCAATTCTCACGTTAACCTTCCGAAAAGCGAAGCGTTTGAGTGATTAGAGAAACCCCAGAGGAGCTTTCAGCACGCAGCAGTTTTTCCATAGGAGTTTCTAGGTTTTGTCAGAGCTTGCTGGATTGGCAAGTAGAGCTTCACGAACAATCGTCGATCTTTCACAGTAGTCTTTTCACTCGGTGTTTTGCCGAGAAATCGAAGGCCTGCGTACCGTATTGGGTTTTCGTAAAACCCAGGGGGGAGAAGCCGGCAATTAGAAGGTGTAAGCTTCGTGATCTGAAGCCCGCTCTTATCTCCGAAACGACTGTCGGTTAAGGGATTGAACAGCACACAGTCAGGCAAGAACAGATGGAAAGGCCGGAAGGGGAAACGAGAGAGGAGATGAGAGAGGGAGTAAGCGAGGAGGGGAGGACGGGAGCGAAGGAGGGAGATGGGGAGGATGGGGAGGAGGAATGGCAGCAGGCGACAAGGCAACGGCCGCGATCAGGGATGCAGCAGCAGCGCGGAGGGGGAGGAAGAAGGGGTGGAAGAGGAGGAAGAGGGGAGGGAGGAAGGGGAGGGAGAGGCGGATGGGGGGAAAGAGGAAGGGGGGAAAGAGGGAGGGGGGAAGGAGGAAGAGGCTTTGGTGGGCGAGGAGAAGGGCAACGGGGTTTGCAACAGAGGCAGCAGCCACGTCAGCAGCAGCACGGGCAACAACAGCAGCAGCAGCAGACACAGCAACAACAACAACCGCAGCAGCAACAACAGCCGCAGCAGCAACAACAAGCACAGCAGGCACAACCACAGCAAGGTGCCCCTCCTTCCGCTTGGAATCGCCACGTGTGGGGTCGACCTGTTGAGAAAGCAGTGCCAGCAGCGCAGCAGCAGGCGACAGCAGCAGCGCAGCAACAGGCGACAGCAGCAAAGAAGCAACAGGAAGCAACAAAACCAGAGGCGTCAGCGCAACAGCAACAGCAGCCACAGCAAGGCCCCCCTCCGTCTGCCTGGAATCGCCACGTGTGGGGTCGACCTGCTGAGCAAGCAGTGCCAGCCGCGCAGCAACAGGCGACAACAGCGCCGCAACTGGGGTCAGTCGCAGGGCAGCAGGCGACATTCGCAGAGCAACAGGCGACAGTCGCAGGGCAGCAGGCGACAGTCGCACAGGCGACAGCCGCGCAGCAAGCGGCAGCACTAGGGCAGCAACCATTACCAGCAACGCAGCAACAGGCGACAGCCTCGCAGCAAGATGCAGCATCAGGGCAGCAGCAGGCGACAGCACAGAGGCTACCAGAGGTAGCGGCAGCACAAGCACAGGCCGAAGCGCAGGCACAACAGGCAGCGACGCAACAGGCAGAAGCGCAAGCACAGGGAGAAGCACAAGCGTCAGCACAAACAGAAGCACAAGTAGCATCTGAGCTGCAAGCAGAGGCATCAGTGCAACCACCTATTGCTCCTCTCGCTGCGTCCGCTCCTGATGTTGCTACAACTGCTGCCGCTGCTCCTCCTACCGTGGCAATTCCAGCCTCACCTGCTGGCAGTGCTGCCCCAGCTACCTCTGCTTCCCCTCCTCCCTCACAACCCCCCAACACCCCACCCCAACGTACCCCTCCCAAGCACACCCCTCCGAAGTCCTGGGCTGCCCTACTTGCCTCAAAACCGACACCACAGCAGCAGCAGCAACAGCAGCAAGGGCAATTGCAGCAGCAGCAACAGCAGCAAGGGCAATTGCAGCAGCAGCAACAGCAGCAAGGGCAATTGCAGCAGCAGCAACAGCAGCAAGGGCAATTGCTGCAGCAGCAACAGCAGCAAGGGCAATTGCAGCAGCAGCAACAGCAGCAAGGGCAATTGCAGCAGCAGCAACAGCAGCAAGGGCAATTGCAGCAGCAGCAGCAGCAGGAGCAACATGTACCGTCATCACCAACAGCAGCAGCAGCAGCAGCAGCTAGTGTGCCGTTGCCAGGCGTTGATGGGGAGAATTCCACGGCCATATCAGCTGCTGGTATCGCCAATGCTGCACCTGTGCCTGCTGCCATTGCCACTGCGGGGCAACCATCACGCGCGGGGCAACCATTAGCCGCAGCAGCAGCAGAGGGAGCAGTGCAAGCGTCAGCAGCAGCAGCAGCAGCAGCAGCAGCAGCAGCACCAGCAGCAGCAGCAGCACCAGCAGCAGCACCAACAACAGACTCGCAACCGCCGCCACTAGCACTAGCAGCAGTGGTCCCACCACCAGCTACAGCAGCAGCGCCAGCAACACCACCACAAAAACCAGCAGCAGCAACAGCAGCACCAGCGTCAGCAGCATCACCACAAACACGAGCAGCAGCAGCAGCAGCAGCACCACCACCGGCAGTAGTCCCGGTGCTACTGGGTTCACAGCCGTT